GGAAACGAACCGCGGCCATCCTGAATTAAATTAGCTGCAGCATGCTGCAGCTAATTCAAGCCCACGCCTTCGGCGTGTGCTTCGTTAAAGCTGAGAGAATCTCGTCGAGCTTGGAATCCTGCCGCAGATGTCATGCTAAGTGCAACTCAATTCACGAAAAGCAGAGCCACTTGAGAAGCAGCTTCAAGGCTTCAGTGCTGCAGGCATGGCATGGCATGGCTTTTCGTTACCAGAAGCAGCAGCCAGCCATGCAGAAGCTTGACTTCAAAAGATCTGGGCACAGGTCCAGCACTAACACTCCCCGTAGCTGTGGGCTTGTCCTGTCCTGCACTGCTTGACGCTTTGAAAGACCGCCGAGGCGCAGCAGACAGGCTAGCGCCTTGCATCTTGTTTTCGATCTCTCTTCTGCGACGAACCTTCTTCACGTCACCACCATCAGCGCTAGCGCTGACGGTAACGTCGACGCGAGGACCACGACAAACAGAATGTTGTACCACCAAGGCTGTGCAGCCTCATACAACACCACCCCATTGACTTCCATCACGAGTAGTACCGAGTAGTCTACCTTCACTGGCACCGCCACGACGACGACGGCTGCGACCTCGACGACGTTGATAAAGATGTATTTTGGCAGACGTACAGCTTATAAGCTGAAATGATATGGTATCGCTCCTCATAGACTATGAGCCATGACCATGCACTCGTTCGTGGCATTGAAACATGGCTAGGAAAGGCCTTGCATAGGAGCCTGCCTGGTCGGCAGCACGTCCCTTGGGAAGGCTGTGGAAGTAGCTGAGCACCTCCTGGAGCAAATCACAACGGAACCAGTGTCAATTTGTAATCATGTCGCGAAGAACAAGAGGTGGTCTAAAGACGCATAATTCTTGACGACGACTGCATGTGCCTCGGCACTGTTCAGCCGCCCGACCTGCGCAAGAAATTGCACGCATCATATCGTCAGGCCCTCGCAAACTTGAAGTCATCGTGAGATGCTGCCATGATGCGGTGTAAAACTATCGGCTACCGGGGGCACATGCTCGCCCGCTCGCCCTGCCTCTGGACTGATCAGAGGAGCAGCGTGCAAGGTGTGCCTGTGTCAAGGCTGGTCAGCAAGACATATATATGTCAAGCACAGAGCCAGCGCGCTGACGAATTGCTGCGTTTTTGTGTCGCGAGAGTGCAAGAGCTGCGCCATTGTGCGTGCAGGCCAGGCGCAGGCAGAGAGACGGAGACCAGCTGCTTTAGCCCTGACTTTCACCCATTTGTCTAGCCAAGTTGGGAAAGGAAGCCGTTCCTCCATGGGTGCCGAGCTGGAGCGGTCAGCTCGCGACATGGCCTGTGACTTTGAGAAGCTCCGCTCAACAACTCAACCATGAGTCACTTCATGCGATGACAAGCCTAACAAAAGAAGTCACAGTGTAGCCTAAGAGCAGGTGGCTTCAACGGCCAGCCGCTTGGTGAAGAATACATCGCAGCATCATCACGCGGACTTCGGACAGGCCAAGAGGCCGACGAAATGAAGCCGGTCAGCTGGTATAGTAGGCCGTGATTATGTGGGAGTTGTAGATGCGTCGACTCTAAGAGCAACCCCACGAACATCTGCAGTCGTCAGAAGCATCTCGGAATCGCAACTGCGCTGAATCGTCAGCCTAAGCGCTGTTGAGCAAACTGGGTGCGGCGGCAACATAACACTGTACCGAGAGTATCCCTCACCACGCCGAACGACATTGAGCAAAGGGCTGCCACCTTCGCAGGGACAGCCCATCTGAAAGTCTTAAAGTGCAAAGGAGATAACAAACCGGACTTTCTGCCGGATGGTTGGATCGCGAACGGGTTTGGCTCCGCCTGTTCAACCAGAACAGAGAGAGAGCCGTCGATCTGGGCCCGCGTGTCCATGGGGCCCAAACCGAAACACGAGCTGTTGTCCAAGTATGGGGGTCTTTTCTCCCTACATATTAAACAGCATCAATGCGGCCATTCAATAGGGAGCCTGGAAGAGACCATACTTTGACAACCTCCCACATGGGAGAATGATGCATCCCACTCGGCGATTTCCGCATGGCTTGTATCAAGAAGCTTGTGAATACTCCTTCGATGAACTAGTTTTGTTGGTTCAGCGGAACTCACCAAAGCTTCCCCGAGACCCGAGCCTCAGAACTTTGCACCACTTAAACTTAGAAAAGCAGGGGCGCCTTCGGCGCCGGCATCAGGTGCCTTCTAGATGACTTGCTCACCTCCTCTTTGCGCAGGAACATTCGGGTCCCAACAAAATTCGAGGCTTTTGCAAAGGAGGTCACTGCTTTTAAACCGCCTTTCGGCTCGCTCCGTCTTTGAAGGAGCCTCTTTGGAGAGGAGCCGAGGCCAAAATCTGCAACACAAAACTTGGAGCCTTAAGTCTCTGTGTCTCCTAGGAGCCTGGGGCCGGAAGTCCATACTGGAAGAAGAAATCCCCGCGACCGAAGTTGTCCTGAAAGCCATAGAAGAGCACCCTCGGCTCCGCCCAACCATCACGGCCATCAATTTGGTTGTCAGTCACTCAGTATGAACGGGTCAAACATCCCTAAGACTTTCCCAAAAAAGTCCAAGACTCTTATTCCGGCAGCCATCGAAAGTCGCTGAACCAAAGAGGGACGCGCTGTGCACAAAACAAGAGTTGCTGTTGCCAAGCTGGCTCCTCTGATTCTCAGGGCTCCAGGGTTTAGGAGAACTTAGGAGAACTTAGGGTTGTTTACTATAAGCTATTTAGGCCTTAGGAAAGTGCTATCCTCAACGCAGCCAGGGCACCAGCTCTTGCTCGCATAGGAGAATTCCCAAAGGCAATCATTCGCTCCCAGGACGAATCCTTCGAGAACGCCACCATAGACCTGGGTTTAGGGTTTAGGGACCTGTCAACCGGACTTCGCCAGCTAAAAGCATTGGCGAGGGTAGAGCTCGCATGCTAATGCGCGCCCTTGTCTTGTATACCTGTACATACGAAGCATCTTAAGAACTCCTCTACGACATCTCGGAGGGCTGTGTGATAGAATATCGGTGGAGGGCCAGATTTAGCCCTCTATCCCTGGATGTCTATGGGGCCTTACAGCACTGTCGAAGTCTAAGAACTAGACTCCAGCACTGAAACAATCAGCCAAAGCTCGTACATGGAGGTGCCCGTGGCGGCAGCCATGTGACCAAACCGAGCAGTTGGCATCGTTGCGACCAGCTGTTCCCACATGTTGGCGCCGCGGATGTAGGCCCACACGTCATTCCTGAAGGTCTCTCCCGCCTGCGTTGTCCGAGAATACTCGACGCCTCCATAGACCTTAGACACTTGCAGCTCCAATTTGAAGCATGCTGGCGCTGAACTTTTCTCACGGCGAAACGCTGCCTCCGAGCAACATACATGGTGTCTGTTGTGGATTCCCAAACAGCTGTGTGGTACGCACGTGCACTTGGCGAGGACAAGGAGTTCATCTTCGCACTTGCAGTGAGGTTCGTCCAGGTGTTCGAATCAAAGTGGTATTCCCAGAGTTCGTCTGTTTGGTTCGGATGGTAACGACGGTCCGACGTCCCAACCGAAGTGCCCCAATCGCCGAAGAGAGGGTCACTGTCGAGAGTTCCCCCGAAGACAATCATTGAGCGGCGGTGCGAATCCCAAATGCATGACATCAGATAACGCAACGGTGGCCACCCTGAAGCGTCTGCACCAGTTAGCGACACATTTCTCGAAAGCATCGTCTGGAATAAAGACCTGTTGGGCAAGGGCCGGAACTCTATCAGGTTGGTCTTCAGACCTCTGTTCGTCGTCACTGACAAGTATCCTGCGAGACAGAAATGCACTTCTCCCGGGTCGGATGACATGTGTCTCCAAAACTCTCTATAAATTTCATGGCGGGCCCCCCTTCTGAGAATCCGATTGAAAGCCACCCTACACCCGTCCCCCCACCAAAATAAAGCACCGTCCTGCTCCTCCATAAGCAAGGAGGGACTCTCCCGTCCAAACCGCGCAGTGAGCTGACTTCCTCACCATGGAATCCTCAGACGGCGAAACTGAAACGCACCCCTGGCTGCACACCCCCCACACCCTAAACCCAAACGAGTAGGTGAGATGGCCTCCTCCATGCACCCAAGCGTCCACACGGATGCGGCCCCGTGCTGTAACGGTGGTCTCCCCGATCACGTCTCTCAACGACCAGGACTTCGCCGTACCTTGGCCGTTGCTTGAAGCCCTCTTGTGCACAACGCTGGTTTGTTTGATCAGCGCCCCATCACAGAAGGTTTTTGAGAAAAAAGGGAGGTCGCGATGGAACACTTTCATATGCACCCGGCGCACCATCGAATTCCCACACTCCACCGTAGTCTGTGGACAGAGCGGGGTTGAGCGAGGTGTCGCTGCCACCATAAGAATAGGTAGCATCTCCGGCCTGGAGCATGCGGCTGTAGAGTTTAGGGTTTAGGGTTTAGTTTAGGGTGAAGCCCCTGAACTCGCCGGCGTCTGATAAGGACAATTGAGAGTTCAGTGAGACATGAGAATAAGAAGAAGCTTTCTTCTTGAATTAGAGTCCTGAGTCAGTGTGTGCCAATATCGCCGCTGCCCCGAAAGATCTGGAGCCGCAACAGGCGGCAATCCTCGGAGCGAAGTGGCGTGTGAGAGGACCATTGGGGAATATTGGGGTATTCTACTTAAAGGATCATGGGACTAAGTAGGGTTATGACTAAGGTAGCTATACTTATAACCCCAATTAGGGGACTTATAACCTTACTTACTGAGTCCCATGATCCTACAAGTAGGCTGCAACTCTTTGCTGCTCAGGATCGGAGCCAGCCCCATGGAGCTGGGGAGGCGGCCTCGGCACCGAGAGTGGAAGGACCCTATACTTCCGAGAGGGCAGGAAGGATGAGCCCGCTACTGGACTGCACAAAGCCTCCGTCGTGGTGCTGGTGCTGGTAGAAGTCGTGGTGCTGCTCGTGGTGGTCGAAGTGGTGGTGGGGGTGGTCGTGGTGGTGGTGGGGGTGGTGGTGGTGGTGGTGGTGGTGGTGGTGGTGGTGGTGGTGGTGGTGGTGGTGGTGGTGGCGGTGGTGGTAGTAGTAGTATAGTAGTAGTAGTAGTA